TGAAATGGCGAAGAACAGGTCTCCGGGAATTGATGGAATATCCATTGAGATGTTTCAACAAATGGAGGGACTCACTCAGCTATGCCAAGAGATTTGGAAGATAACTAGCTAGCCAACTGACTGGAAGAGATACATATTTGTACCCATTCCAAAGAAAGGTGATCCCATAGAATGTGGAAATTATTGAACAATATCATTAATATCATATGCAAGTAAAATCTTACAGAAGATAATTTAAAAATAGTTGCAGCAGTATATTAACAGAGAGTTTCCAGAAATGCAAGCTGGATTCAGAAGAGGATGTGGAATGAGGGATGTCATTGCTGATGTCAGATAGTTTTTAGCTGAAAGCAAAGAATACCAGAAAGATGTTTACTTATGTTTTATTGACTCTGCAAAAGCATTTGACTGTGTGGATCGTAACAAATTATGGATGACATTGAGAAGAATGGGAATTCCAGAACACTTAATTGTACTCATGAGGAATCTGTAAATAGATCAGGAGGCTGTCATTCAAACAGAACAAGGGGATACTGCATGGTTTAAAATCAAGAAGGGAGTGCATCAGAGTTCACCATACTTATTCAACTTGTATGCTGAACAAATAATCTGAGAAGCTGGATTATATGAAGAAGAACATAGCATCAAGATTGGAGGAAGACTCATTAACAACCTGCAATATGCAGACGACACAGCTTTGCTTGCTGAAAGTGAGGATAACTTGAAGCACTTACTGATGAAGATCAAAGACTTCTGTCTGCAGTATAGATTATACCTCAACATAAAGAAAACAAAAATCCTCATGACTGGTCCAATGAACATCTTCACAACGGATGGAGAAAATATTGAAGTTATCAAGGATTTCATATTACTTGGTTCTACAATCAATACCAATGGAAGCAGCAGTCAAGATATCAGACAACATATTGCATTGAGCAAATCTGCTGCAAAAGACCTCTTTCAAGTGATGAAGAGCAAAGATGTCTCCTTGAAAACTAAGGTGC